ACTAGAATTTATCTTGATACCAGAATTTCAGGTGTGCTCTTGATCCACAATTGGGTATTTGAGCATATTTTATAGAAAGGAGAAAGTGGCCACCACTGCTGGAACTGAGCTAGTTACACCCTTCTGATTGTTTTACCAACATTAAAAAGCATGTGTGGAAAGGGAACCCAGCTTCTAAAATTAATGGGTTAATAGTTGCAGCAAGAGCAAAACAAGTAAAGGTAATTTAGAACAAAACGTCAAGTTAGGCCTAACACAGTTCTCTCAAGCACCGCTCAAATTTGCTTTAGGATGTGGATTTTGGGAAACAGATTTCCTTCCTTCCATTAAGGCTAGAGCTACAGAGCCACAAACAATTTTAACTGCATTATATTCAAGAAGAAAGCGGTCGATAGAATAACACCTCTTCCTTGGACAGTTTAGAAGATCAGCTTCTCGTCAGAGCCTCTGCCATACACCAAAAATGAAACACCACCATTTCTGAAACGCTGTAGGAATATCCAAGGAAATCCAAGCTGCTGCTTTTACGTTTTCATAGAAGTGTACGAGGGTCAGGGATTTGCTTCCACATGGAGACGTTACATTTCTTTAACGGTCCCCTGCAGCGTGGATGTTGTCCTTCCCGTCAACATCAGGCGACCCGAATGCAACATCCAGCCCTAAGCAGCCAGGCACAGTGGCTCCCAAAAGCGCAGAAGCTTTCCTCTTGGAAAATGGGAATTGTTTTGCATTGACTGGGATGAAAACCATTTGAGGGTAAAAGCAAACGGGATTTGCCAACCAGGAGGCCTGAAGGACCTTCCCCATCTCCCTCCCGCTGGAATAAACAGTTGGCCAAAGAGAAGCACGTTACAGCTGAAGGAACCAGCCGCCTTCAGGACTACCAGGTGTGCTCATCCGCTGCTAAACACGGGAGCCTTCCCACAGCTCCTGCCACCGCTCCTCCTGTCGAGTTCTGCCACTGACCGCAACAGCCCAGATCAGCACGAGACCCGTCAAACGCTCAGATGCTGACGCCGTGATGGAACATTCAAAGACATTTTAACAAATGTTGTCATTCAGAGAAAACCAGAATTAGACAGAAACTGCACAGTTTTGCAATGTTTGAGTTTCCAGTAACGTTCCCAACGATAACCATAACTATATTTAAGCCCAGACTTCAGTAAGGCAATAATCTAAGTCCACAGGGAATCACTATTCCGGATCCTTTCCTGCTTGCTCTTCAGATGAGGCACTGATTTTTTTCGGTCCATCGGTGGTGAAGAACAGCTACCCACCCCAGCACGAGAACTTTGCTGGTGCCAGCTCAGCAATTCAAACCCTTCCTCGTCCCCTCCACGTTCAACACAGACGGATACTGTTAAAAACAGGCGCACAGATCTGAAAGACTAAAACATACAGTCGTCGCAAACCCCAACTCCAGCTATAAATTTTGTCTTCAGGTACCTGTTTCAGTACTTTGCATACACTTAAGAGCAGTTTCACATGAACAAGAGGGATGATTTTTATTTTCCAAGATGTGGCTGGCAGCCTCGTTAAGGGGGCTGGTTAACGAGCAGCGTTCTCATGTTCCTTTGTATCCACAGGAGACGTGCAATGGGAGCAATCTGAAGAACGCAGCGCAAATTTATCCTGAGCCCGAACACTTGTGTCTCGGATGTGCGTTTATAATGAACGGGTCTTGCAAAGAAGAGGTCAGAAAAATCAACCGCTCAGCTTAGGCAATGCCAGGACTTCAAAAAAAAAAGAACAGGAAGATCAAGATTTTTCAGACCAGTTGGTTTTGTGTCTTGTTCTGCTCAACCGCAAAGGTTTTGCCCTATTTGCTTTTAATCATATGAAATGGAGCCCGTTTGTCAGTACCAGTTACCTTTTCAATAGCTGTCTAGAGTTAAAGCCTTCTCAGTGACTTTTCTCTCTCCAAAGCAGTTACCCAAATGCCATTTGGGGGAAAGAAGGAAGCTCAATCCATTCTCCAAAGACACACATCAAGGTCATCGGTAACACAACCAGACAATCTGCCTAACAAGTCACGTCAGCAGGACATTTTGGGAAGACACGTTTTTAAGGACACGAAGTTCTCAGAGTCACAAACTCCCAGCAGAATACATGCACCGGCTAGTAACAAGGAGTCAACCTTACTCTTCCAACTGCTCTGAGCGATGCTACGCTTTAGAGGTTGTTAGACACAAAAGACAGTATCCTGGAGAGAAAACAGGGTTCAAGTGAAGTCTAGAACTCCCTCCACAGCAAGATCTGAGTCATGCTGGTGAACTGTTCCTAAGACAGCCTGTATACAGGCGGAACACAGCAGGACAAGGTAGGACAACATCGACCTTAGGTCTGAGACAATAGCTCGTGATTTCCGAGTTAAAATATTTAAGCTGTAGGATGCCTAGGAAGGATCAAAGTTTCCCAGACACAGTAACATCAGGTAGAAACATATGGAAACTTGAGTGGTTTGTGAATGATTTACTCAAGAATCCGGGTGTTACAGCCAAGAGGATGCAAGACACTGAAGCTACAAGTTTGTTCTCGAGCACACACCACCACACGTTATCACAGCCCAGCAACGCTGGATGATAAAGCCCTCGCCAAAATAAAAACCTGTCTCTCCCCACAGTAGCTGTATCGGCCAGGCAGCAGTTGTTAACTCGTCTGTTCTGCTCCCGAGACCGACTCGTAGAAAAACAGAGTAAAACCACTGATGAGCGCAACTGACACGTCTACACACAGGCCCAGCAGCAGCACTTTGTTACGCTCGCTCACGCTGTCCCACCGCCGGCAGCAGGCCCGTTATCCTACAGTTATCCCCAGTTATCCTACAGCAGCACCGAACTCTCGTCAACACAACTTGCCCCCGGCATGCAGGAGGGGCTCTGCAACAAAACCAGCCCACAGCTGCCACCCTTTTCCTCTGCATGATCCCTCCTTCCAACAGGCCTTGCTCAAAAGATGGTGTTTTTCAAAAGCCTTATCTAGGAGGGCTTGCGATCGGGTTGTAACTCACATCTAGAGCCAAGTCACTCGTGAAGATACCTAAAAGCTCCCCTCAACAGGCAAGAAAACCAGTTCGTGGATCTACGTGCCATACTCGAGCCCGTTTTTCAGCATACTGTTTATTAGACGCACGTGTTGAGATTAAAGGAGTCAGTGCAAATTCCCAGGTCAAACAGCTCAAGTATTGTTCTACGGTTGTTGTTGTGTCACACATCTCCCTCTATCAGCACACAGCAGCACAGCTACTCTAAAGACCATTTTCAGACACGAGAAAGGCTTACCAAGTTGTATCCCAAGGAAGAGGCCTCTCAACTACGCAATGTTTGAGTCCTAAATTTAAGTTAAAAAAACCCAAAAGCTAAAACGTGAAGTGGAATGTTCCGCTCCGTTCAGCGGTTTTCAGTTCGGTATGCTGCGAGTTTACTGTCACACTACAACTAGCTACTTCAGAAGCATTTGGTGTGTAATGGGAAAAGCTGAACTGGTTCTACCAACCATTTAAGTAGTAAGCCGATGCACAAAAAAATAAAGTATTTTTAAAAAATTCACTGTTTTCCTACATCAGTTCAACATTAGAAGGTTTGTCTTTTTATTTTTTCCAGTTAAAAAACAGTTGGGACTATTATCTCAGTAATAGCTTCCTAAAAAAGACACAGAACAGCAACTTCTCACCCGACTGCAGTTTATATTGTTATACTGGTACGGAATGTTTCTAGGCCTTGACTAAAACCGCTGCTTCTAGCCATCAGCATCGTTTCAGGATGTCTGGTGTGTAGTATTGTCTTCACAAGCTTATCACTTTTCTCAGTAAAAACATTTCTCATTTGTGCTCTTCACACAGAACATAGAAAAGTGATATTACCACCTCTTCGTATGGAGTTTCAGGTTATTTCACAACAAAGTCGAAACATCTGACTACAAGTTCTGAAAGTTCAGTTATGATACAAAGTAGAAATGACCCTCTGAGTGAAAACAACCTTCAGTTTTGTATAGAACAGTGAAACAACATGTGGCTCTTCCTTAATTTCACCTTTCCACAGATAGGAATTATTTGATGAGCAATACTTAACATACATAGCACTGTTCTTCTTGCACGTGCTACAGAATGCCACAGAACTACCAACACCTCTATGGAGGCAGCTATCAATATATTCTCCCCACGGCAGAGAGAGTGCATGTGCGCAAAAGGCAGGCACAAGTGATTTTCCAAAGATTATACCACAAGTACGCAGTAAAACTTGAATAAGACTTGGTATTTTCCAGCTCCTAGTCTTATGCCATTTCTTTTATGCATTGCTGCCTTGATGAAAAGGAAAGTCCATGAAAAGAAAAGCTTCCCAGAAGTCACAGCTATTAGAGTAAAATCAGAAAAACAGGAAAAGAGTTTACATCTATTCAGGGAAAAAAAAAAAAAAAAAAAAAAGAGAACCTACCAGGGAAAAAAAAAACAACCCAAAACCTTATGAAATGTCAACCCATCACATTACATTTGTTTCAGTCGTTGAAAACCAGTGTTCCAGGATACAATTTTTATAAACATGTTTTATTTGTCTTTCTTATACCATTAGAACTGAACTGCTGGCTGTCGTTTCCCTTAAAAGGGGAAATCAATTCAAACACATACTGGTGCTTTTCAAAAGATAGCAATTAAAAGGGCAGCAGCAGCGGGCATTTGAGATTTCTAAAAACCTTCAAGGCTGCAGGAAAGACAAAAGGACATGTGACCAAAAGTGTTATGATTATCCATTAAAGATTTCCATCAGTACCGGCATCAGTTATTTAGGTGATAATACAGCAAGGTCAAGTATTAGTGACAGACAATGTGCACGTCGTAAGGAATGATAGAGAATACCAATCCTTACACACGTCATTGCTATCAGAGAAACTTAAAAGTGTTTCAAAGAGAGATCTAAATACTTCACATCAAATATACAGTGGCCATCCAGATTATATCTCACATTTGTGGCAAAATTTTGTTGAAGTGCCAAATCAAAGCCGCCTTTTTTTTTTCCTTTAAAAAAATAATAATTACACAGTTACATTAGCAGTTATGCAAGCGATCTTAAATCCTTAGCCACAGTAAACAGGGCCCTGGTGACGAGGAGTGCTGCAGCTAAGGGTGCTGCTTCTTCCTCCAAGACTGGCTATAAGCCTACTTGGCTATTTAGGGAAACAGGCATCACTAGCATCTTTAACTGTTCAGTGCTTCAATTTAACAAGAAAAAGCTGAAATGCAGTTGCACTACCAAGCCACACTTCACCTTTTCCATCCTTTTGTGGGAACGTTATGTTTTGCCAACTGGCGCCACAGTAAAATCTTTACGAATTTGCAGATTTTATCCAAATTTGTTACATCGCTTTTAAATGTCAGAAGTGAGTCTTTGCTTTTTTCCTGCCACTTCAGTTAACCATGGAGATTGGATCACCCTGAAAATTGCCTTTTTTTGCTTTACTCTTAGCAAGGGTGAGGAATCTGAATCTCATGTGCAAGGCTCAAGATGATGCTTAGGACAGAACATGCAGAGTAAACGTTGTTTCGTTCCTTTCAATATCCAGGTAATATAAAGCTGGCAACTGTAGTCCTGTCATTATGGGTAATGAAAATAGTCCCTTTACAACAAACTTCCTGTAAGGGAGAACAAATAGATAATAACTCTTCTGGTAACATGTATAGTACACTGGCCAGTGTGTTTTTGGCGTTTAACGTAATCCTGTGAATTTGTTTAATTCACTTGCTGAGCATTCATTTGAGGCATCCCTCTGTTTGGTCTTGGGGGCCCTCCGCGACCTAGAAAACATACAAAAAGGCTCTTGAATTACACATGAAGTCAGGCGATTTTAAAACAACCTCCTAAAAGCTCTGGTCTACACTGGGTAAGAACTCCCAGGTGTGTATCTAGCCTATATACGGTAATAAAAGCTCCTTCAAATCAAAACTCAACAGTACGTAACCTGTCTTGATAGTTCTCAGCTTTATCCCAGTACTTTTGTTCCCAGAACTACAAAAGCCGTCATCACTTAAAGTAAAAAGTTTTGCAGTAATGTAAGGCAGCACTTGCTTCACTGTATTGTGAAGGTAAGTGTGAGCTAACTAACCGTGATTTAACTTCCATTCTTTCCTGCCTTCATTAAGGAGGAGACTGCCTGTGGCTCACACTCTCAGTACACGAGAATTGTAGGTCACTTGGGGAATCCCTCCTGTTTGCCCACACGCACATCCCTGACAACGAACCTCAAGACTTCTCTTCATTATAGCTGTGCTTCCCAAAACCTGCTCCCAGCTTCACCACAGCTGACACTACAGCGAACTGCAGGCCGCAGCTCCCCACGACAGCGTTTTCAGAACCGAGACAGTCAAGGACAGAACTCCTCAGAAGTGACCGACCACACTGAACTGCGGTTTCACAGACAGTGCAACGTACAGCCTCGAGCTGTCCTTACTGACAGGGCACTCTGGTGGTAACTCAAGATTCTCATGGAAATGGCTGTATCGAGACAGAAGACAGTCTCATCTCCAAAAATCTACTAAAACCAAAAAAAAAGAACTGTGGAAACAGTATTGAAAATAAAACTTTAAAGTTCAACTACAGCCTCACTATGTATGTGGGGGCTTTTTGTTTTGTTTTCTCAGATGAATATGTTGCAAATGCTCTTATGGAGCTACAGGACAATACACTTCCATAAGCTTAAACCACCGATTCTCTAGGACTGAGGATCAGGTGAGTATGGAGGGAAGTTTTGTATCCTCGATCAAAAGAGACCTCCACAACCAATGCAGCAGGAAACCTTTTAGTGCAACATGGTAACATACAATTTTGAAGGCTGACACTCAACTCAAGCCTGGTGTCTGCTTTATAAGCAAGTCTTACCTGTAAACTACTACTGCACCCAGTAAGTAGCTCTCATGCTTAAAACCTCACAAAAAATACCACTTTCCTAAAGCTTTCATCAATATAAGGCAACTACACAGTTCTGCTACATTTAAAGTGTCAAAAACAATTGTTGTTTTAACTTCCCAAAGAATTCCTCATTTGACAGCCAACTAAACTTCCACCCCAAGTTCAATGGATCACAGTGTAATTCAAGTCAGAAGGGACCTCAAGAGGTCCTCCAAGTCCAACCCCTGTTCAAAAGCAGGGTCAACTATGAGGTCAAAGGAAAGTAAGCTTAATTCTTCAACTGTGACCTGCTGAGTAAAGGGTGAGGTCACTTTTTAAATACAGAACTCCAGCAGTTTGATCAAAAAAACCTTCCATTCAGCCCAAATCAATTATTCACTACTCGGGAATTACCTCTAGGAGCTCCCCGAGGTCCACTTTGTCCAGAGCCACGTTTGAAATTCTGTTGATATCCATCCTGAAGCAAAGAAATTAAAAAAATTACAACACAAAACCTGGGCATTTTGTTATGTTTCAGGAAGCTACTAATTGCCAATAAAATAAGGAGCTTTTAAAAGAATAGGCACTGACAAAACACCTCTGACTTCAACACTCAGTTTAAATTAATCTTAGAAAAATAAATTCTTACTCCTACTAGCACTAGCAGGTATAATAAAACGTACAATGACAAATTCTCTCTCCAGTTACATGGGATGTTGTTTCACCTAAATAAGAATTGCAAACAGATGTATTTAGTGTTCAAATTTTTCAAACTACACCGAGGTCAAACAGATGAATTTGCTGAAGGATCAGGCAATAAATGAAGCAAGGTTCTAATGGCAGGATCAAAAATCTGTCATCTCATTTGTTTATAAACACTTGGTTTGGGGATATACAGAAAAAACACATACATTTTTCAGTCAGTCTAAGCTTTAAGCAAACTGAGCATACTTCCTCCAGAACAACAAAATTCTACACAAATTTCAGAGTAACGTATCAGCATTGCAGAAGACAGACAATCCCAACCAAGTCTGATAAGTTAACTGCAGTGGATTTAAGTTCTTAAGTTTCTTTCTCACAAAGCTGTGAAAATATTGAAGAGAAGCTCTTTATAATTCACTCAACCTTGCTCTAGTTACTAGACTAGATCCTTTAGAGATCAATAGTCAATCAGAACCCATCTCACAATTATAACCACCCCTTTAATATTCTACCATTTCTAAGCACCTGTTTAGTACCTGAATTTTTTGTCTTCACTAGCAATAAAAAAAAGTCCTCAGCAAGTTTTCACTAAGAGGTTTGTCTGAGTGCTTTCGCTGACAGTTTTTTTCTTCTACTTCTAGACTGTCACAGCACAAGGGTAGCTTACCCGCTGGTAGTTTGAGTAATCCCGAGGAGCATTGAACTGGGGCTGCGTGTAACCACTGTTTGGAGTGTTGGAAAAAGAGGGACGGTAGCCATCATATCCGCCTACGGAACAGGGGTACAAGTCTTTCACTCGGAAATGATAACCTATTACTACTTCATGCTACCGTATAAAGAAAAGCAGTAACAGCATTTTACCTAAACCTGAGGAAAAACCCCTTTAATCAGCACTGTTACCTGCAAGCCAAGCAAAGGTGTGAAACATCAGTGCTAACGCTATTACAAGAAACAAGAAGGAAAGCCTGGTAAGAACTGGGAGGAGACAGCAATTCAACATCCTTCTCCAGCAATCTGAGGTTTGTTTTACTTAAAAGTCAATTCAGAGCTAAACATAAAAGTAGGATCTAACTGTAACAGCTGTGATCTGCAAGGCCACAACAGCCAACTCGAGCAAGAAGCTACTCCTGAGCCAAGACTCTTCGAGTGCTGGGAACCACAGCCAGGGACAGCTCCAGTCATAACGGTCTAACACTTGGAACCCAGATCAATTTTAAGCAGACCAGTAGTGATCACCGCATTCCCTTCTACAATCAGCTCCGTTTTTATTATACACGTTTCTCCTTTACTCTCCAGCCACGTGAGAGGAAGAGAACACAGCAAAAGCAGACAGCACTGTATCCACTAGTCTGCTCCCAGAACACCTCACAAGCAAGCTGTCTCTCTCCCCTGTTCTAACATACACATCTTTGTAACACTGACAGCTACGTATAATCATCTCCAGGAATAATGAAAGTTTCCTCATTTACCCAGAACTGGTATCATTCCTCTGCTCCTGTCAATTCCCTCAGAGTAAGGACTTTTGGACTTTTTTGTTCTCGTACTCTACACTATCCAGTAGATATCCTATTCTCAATATTATGAAACATGGAACTCTAAAATAGACTGCTTCTGCCACAATTGGAACTAAAAAACATTTTTGAAACACCAATTGGCATTTGAATTCTCCACTTGATAGTCGTGAAATTCTGTTGGGTATTTCAGTGTCAAGCTAACACTAAGCATTCAGCACAGAACAGAAAAAAATGCTTCTTTGTTTACATCCTAGTAGGAAGCCTAAAGAAACACCTACAATTTATGTTGCTTACATTAGCTAAAGCAAGGAGAATTTTTACTACAAGTTTAAATACCTTACAGATCTACTACTACAGTATGAACCCAACAGTAGGTCAGTTTAACACTTGGTACCTTGAGATGGCATTTCCAGAAAGAAGTCAAATGAGAGAGTTTAATGAAGCTGTTTACCTCTAAATCCATTTGCCGGTCCCCTGTAACCGTTCATTAAGCCACGAGCCCCACGTGATCCACCACGAGACACTCCTCGACTGTTATAATAGGGCTGACTGTTACGTGGAAATCCAGTATTCTGCTGGGGAGGTTGCTGGTGGTTACCCGCCACTTGATGAGTCTGGTCCGGGGAACCATGGTAAGTACCGACCACTACGTTGGAATTGGGGGGGGAAAAAAGAAGTATAAAAGTCTGAGTGTGTTTATTTTTGTTCCCATGTGTACTCCCCTCAAACTCAACAGTGGTATTTCAGAGCTTTGAATGAACACATCAACAAACGCTCACTCATTCGAAGAAAAATAATCCTCAGAATTAAGCGTCAAGTTCACTAGTCAGATATCCCACAGTATCAAACCAATCCAGAAATGGTACAGAGCTGATTTCAATCAAGTCAGTGTCAAGAAGTCCCTAGCGTAAGCTCAGCAAAAAGTAGACTGTACAGGCTGAGGGATTCTTTCTATAGGACTTGTAAATCAAAAGAACAGGATGCACAGCTTGAGACTATCTGAACGCTGAAGTGAGGTATGCCGCAACGTCTTCACTTCACAGGAATCGTCAGGAATGCAGCAGATCACAAAAGCAATCTGAGGGTTATAGGCTCAGTGAGTGTAATAAAAGATGGAATTCTGTACGTAAGAGCAAAACAGCTGTAAAATTTAGCCTGATAGCAAATGCTGAAGCAAGATCTCAAATAAAATTTCTAAGCCTAAGTCCCTCTCATATGCAGGAAATCACCCAACAGGGACCACAACTTCACGCAGCCAGAGTGCACTACGGAACTTTTGCATAGATCCTCCTTTCTCCCAGCTTCCCGTCAGTTCTTAGGGAATGCATGAAGTGGTCATCCCTTTGAGTGCTTAACATGCACAAGTTCTGTCCTAAGGCCACTGCATCTTCTGGGTCTCAACAGTTCCACGTACTGTGACAGTAAGTTAAGCATTTAATACTGCACAGCTCACCTCTGACACCAGCATTCCCCAGGCTGTCCTTCTGCCGTGTGCTACACAGCTCAAAACATGGAGAGATGAACCATGAAAACTTGTTTCTCCCTCTCCTCATCAACCCACCCAACTTGCAACAAAGACAAATCTCAAGATCACAATCAGTTACAGAGAAGGAGGATCAGGCCCTTTCTCCTTACTCCGCCTCCAGTAACTGTCAGTCCTTCACGCCTGTCATCTCTGTCCTGGGTCCCTCACTCAGAACCCCTCTCTGCACCTGCAAATGACATCTCAGTAGGAAGCGAGTGCTGGGAGAAGAACAGCTTTGTACATCAACTGGTTTACTGTTCAGTTGTTTCCTGAAGTTGCTGACTCGGAAACCACCTTGCCTGCTGATGCAAACCACGTCTAACTGATTTTAGCAGAAAGTTCTAGTACTTTGTGGACATCACCCCACCCCTGAGCAGCAGTCTGGATTTGCTTTGCTCTCAATTCCAGCTTGCTATATCCTTTTTGAAATGTCATCTCTAACAGTACAAGCTTTTTTTTGTAAAGCAAATTTAAGGATCATCCAACCTTAACATTAGCAGAGCAAGTACTCCACTACACTGTTTTCATCTCTAGGATCATCCTCAATCCTTTTTTGTGTTTTCTGGTTTGTTTTTTTTGTTTGTTTTTTTTTTTTTTAACCCCATGTAAAACTGAACCAGGCAGCAAAATTCTTTTAACAGGTGGAGATACACATACTGAATTTCACCCACTGGTGGATATTCTAACCGAGACAGAATAACAAAACCTGGTTCTGTGCAGGGGAAAGCTTCTCAAGACTAGGAATATTTGAGAATGTGTGACATGCTTTGCTACATCATCTAGGACTTCACAGTCTCATCATCTGCTCTACTGAGGCTACTGCCATTTCAGGTTTTGCCAAAATAACTTTACCTGTCTGGAGTTGTTCTTGCTGAAGATCCGATTGTTCTACTTGGTGAGGTTGATTGGAGAAACTCTGGTTGTAACTGGCCTGGTACTGGTTTTGCTGCTTAAGGGTTTCTGGCTCATTAACAGGAGGAACAGGTGCATTCATGTTGAATACCTATAATGGTAGAAAAAAACCCTCTCTGGTCCAATCCATTTTTTACAATTCTTCATCACATGCCGTAAAGAAGTATGCCTGAATAACTGAAGACTATTTTATGTAATTACATGACCGATTCCAGTGTTTGTGTAACAACAAAAGGAATGACTACCAAATTTAAGGGATTCAATATTAATTTACTACTTACTGTTTGCATGGATTGGAATGGAGCTGCATTAACATTGATTCCGCTGCTATGCAAAGGCTTGCTAGATCCAGCCTGGAACACCTGTGGCTGGGATGCAGTGGGAAGTGATGATGATGATGGGGTCTGGTCTGCATTCAGTGACATTGAAGCCTAATAATTAAAACAAACAACGTTTAGCAGCTTTTGAACAATAAAAAAAAAATCAACTTAAAGACTTCACTTAAAAAAACCCCAACAATGCCTCAGGTTCACCTCAACAAATGAGCATTTTCTACTTCAGCTGAACAGCCTCATTCCCAACAGCATAATGGGAGAGGAAAAACCTATCAGCCTTCTCCCTCGTGAAACACAACCAGAAGAAACTACAGGGGAAACAAATGAGTTTCTGGGCTAACTGCTGGCCAAGGTAAAAAAAGAAATCACATTTCCTAAGCCAACACCACTGATGCTCACATTCTGATGTTGCATGAACAGACAATCTTGTAAACCAAAAGTCTTACTACGAAGCACTTATGGGTCACAGACTGGCTCAAAATTTTTAAATTAAGCAGAATTGCGGCTCTATCAATAGGTAACTAAAAATGACAAAACTATTTACAAAGAAACATAGACTAACATTTGATCGCACCTGCAAGCAGAGTCCTTCCCACCCCTGTGAAATCTGACTTGCCTGAATCTGGTCAATTGATTCTTTCTGCGGCCGTTGCTCTGTTGTGTGAGAAGGCTGATACATGGGTTGGGAGGCTGTATAACCCTCACTTGTAGAAGAAACCAAGGGAACCTGACAAAATAAACCCCAAAGCCCCCAGAAGTCAGCTGATGCTCACACACAGTTTTACAAAAAGTATCAGAGAACCCTGGAATGAATGGCACTCTCTAGTAAAAGTACGTATTCCAGCAAATCTTTACACCCATTTAAAATAAAGTCCTTCTTAACAAGCAGAGATTTAAGCACCTCATCTCGACATTTATTCTAACATGCTACACCACCCACCCCCAGACTGTATTCTGTGGCTATTTCTGAATCAGCTGGACATGTATTTGCTTTTACTGAGAAATATACTTCTCCTCATTTCCTCAGGCAACCTCAACTACCATAACAATAAAGCTGGGGAAAGACAGAGAGAGATACAAACATACAGAAGCTTCACTGAGAGAACTCCAAGGTCATACAGAAATAGAGAAATGTTTCCAATGGACTGAATTTGCTCATTTTACAGCCTCTGCTCCCCCCTAGACATCCACCCCTGTGACATTTCCGGCACAAATAAGGAAATAAAGGACAACCTTGCTTCTATCTAAATTAAAAATACTACCTCACATGGCTTAAGATGAAAGAGAACACTACTAGGCAAAGGTTGACATGTCAAATTATTAGTCCATCTTGAACAGAATGCACAGAGCAACCTGAAGTTAAACTAATGTATTAGAGTAGGACTACACAGAGCAGCCCTCCAAACAAAGTCCTTCCTCTCAGTCATGAAAAAAACCCACTTAAAATTCACCACTGTCACACGGTAGGTGGAAGTCAATTTGTGAAGTGAAAATTGCATCCAGACACTGAATTTGAAGACCGAGGCGAACTCCAGAGACTGAAAGAACCAGTGGTAACTGCTGAGAAGTCCCCACTGGGCCATTAGAATGAGCAGAGGAAACTGCAACTGCTTCCCTGCTCGTGCCTTCAGTTTAAGGGACCTCTAACGAGGAATGCGGGTTCCTCCATAAACTTGCACTTCACCCTTGAAACCCGACAGTTTTCCAAACAGGATAATGCCCGGTAAGACTCCGCTACAGAAAACAGGCAGTAGCTGTGCAGCATAAAAACTGCACAGTAATGCTTGCAGGTGATAACATGGAAGAGACAATGGAGGCAATTTCCCCAAAATCAGAACTTCCAGCTTTTTCCTTGGAGTTTCTCATACAGTTAGGAATTAATCCTATTATAACATCAATCAAGCCTAAAATCAATTTAAAATCCAAAATACAGTTTACTAAACATTTTACCTGTGTAGCTTCTGGTTGCACAGGAACTTGATTAGGCTGGGCAAGTCTCGACTCAGCATGAACTGAAGTAAAATAATTTCACTTATTACATAGTACAAACTTTTTACAAAACACCATTACCATCTCACCCAATTCAGTTATTTGAGAGCTGATCATCATAAAGATGATAAACCCTTTAGCATGGCAGAGCTATACTCAAAATACCAATTACCATTTCCTTGCAAAGTACATTTTTTCCAGTTGTCCAAAACAATCCAGCAATTTCCAAAAGGCTAAGCAAAACTGTACTTTGCCCATTTAAAAAAAAGTTTAAAATCTTTCATATTTCCAAGCAAAACCTAGAAGCAAGTGAGAATCGGAAGACTACAAGCAGCATGCTTCAAAAGTATCATCCCATTTCTGAGAAAAACATACTTCAACAGTAGTGTATTATTACTTGTGATGAGCCTTTTACTACGTCTTGCAGGCCTCCTCAATATTTCTGTTTAGGATTTACCATTACAAACCTGGAGGGCAAACCATTTGTGGCATGTCCAAATTCTGTGCTGGATTCATGGGTTGTGCAGATACAATGGCAGGATCAAGTGTTTGGTTCTCAAACTCCAGCATAGAATCCTGGGAAAAAAAATAAAACCAATAAAACCCAATTACTGTATTTTAAAAATATTAACATTCAGAATACAGAAACGACCAGGTCACAACCAAGGAAGCTTAGTCCAGTCACACAATTGCTGCTTTTACCACACATTTAAATCGATCAAGATATTAAAAATTCCAAAACGTACTTATCACAACAAAAATTCAGGCCATGTGTACAAATTAGAGCTTATCTGACAAAAAGACAACTGGGGGGAGATTTTAATAGCAAGACAGAATCAGCAGCGAACTATTCTTTATCCTAAATTAGCACTTTGTAGGAAGAAACAAAAAAAAGAACATAAGCAGCATATGCCTCATTTGTTACCAAGGTGTCTACTCTTTCTTTGTGGAGGAGGAGAGGCTTTTTCTGATGAATTTCATTATCTCCCAATGCTCTTCTAGTTCTAACTTCAGATGTTCAAAGACAGCCTTCAAGAAGCAATGCAAAAAGTATTTTCTTCACGTGTCAGAGAAGGTTTTCTAACACAAACTTCAGTACTAGCTTACAGAAGGGGTATTTTTTACAGTTGGTCTCACTAAGCAGAGTACACTACGGCACCCCGTGATGCACAACCTCCTGCCTTCTCTGTAGGTTTGCTACAAACAGGAACTGAAAAGGTAAGTAATTTCTTAACTGTACTGTAACAGCAGTACACGTTTGCAGGCTTTGGATGAGATCTTGCCATACAGCTTCCAAGATACTGTATCTTTCAAGTAAGCTACAGCAGACTCTTTAAATCATGACTAACCCTCAGAGAGCGTTGTTTTGTTTCTTTGGTTCTAGCTTCACAGGAGGGTGGGTTCATCATACCTGCATGAAGTTATAGGGGCCCTGCATCTGCGCCATGAGGTCCTGTACTCGCTGTCTTCTTACAAGAGGATCTGCTTGAGCCACAGTAGTGAGCGTGTGAGGTTCAGGAACTGGAGGAGATGTAGCCTGTGTCTGTTGCTGCAGTGAATTTACAACCTAACAAGAAACAAGCAACCAACCGAAATTTCAGCTTAAAGATAACACTGCACAGAAGCGACTCAGTAGTTCTTGAAATTGATTGCTACTGCCTAATTTATTATGGACATCATTACTACAGTGTTCTTGAAGAAAAATACTACATCTTCCTACAGTCATGCCAATACTGGTGGCCAGCTACTGATCCAAGCACTTCACAGGACTGAGAAAGTTCAGACTGTGCTCTATGTTCTCGCCATCTGTTCTTTTCCCCATTACGAACACTTAACAAAAAAGTTGTTCAGTATTACAGGGATTTTTTTAAAGCAGATTTGAGTCAGCAATTTATCAACATATGGAAATCTAAGGAAAGTCAGGGAAGAGTAAGTTTCAGAAATATGCACAGATGGAGAACAATTATTTTCTCATATCCTTCTGGTAAATGGAAGTAGAGTCAAAATTGTTGAGTCGGTCTTAAGTCTTCAAAATTTTAAATTTTGATAGCCACGTCTAGACCCGAGCTCTCCACTATTCTCCTAGCTAGCTGATCATGGGCTCGAGAGTACAGCAGGCAGCATCGCGTGAAGGAAAGACTGCAAGACAGCACCGCGGGGGGACACCAGAAGCCCAGCAGCACAGCTCTTCGTGGGAAACAAAGCTCAGATTTACTGGACATACTCCAATATGGCGCACACAAACAAAGGTCTGACAACACTGACATGCTTTCAAATACCACCTTATCAAAGACAGCAACCAGGAGAGCTGAACATGAGCATCTAAGAACATCCATCAAACAGCTTGAACGTAGACAGTTACAAGGATAGTCGAGCTGCACAAAGCAGCACTTTCATGTTCATAACTAGTTTTGCTCTTTAGGCAACTCCTGTAACACAGAAGTGCCATTTTCAATTTGTTTTCATGTCAACAACTGTCCTTTAAAAAGAAGATCATTGTCAATAACTTGTCTACTGCTTCTCTACTCCCATGAGCTTTTAGTTATTAATAATCGTCCAGATAAGGTAAGCCTTAAACTTACAGTTGCACAAAACATAAATTAGCATACATGCACCGGAAGGTTCAAAATATTTATGTAAAATATCTGGTTTCTTGTTAGAACTGGAGAAGACAGATTTTTGTACAGCAGTCACGATCAGTGACACAACAGTCCTATTTTAGACCACTTCTATAATCACAGCTCTGAACTTTACACTTGAACTCCTGCTATCCACACTCAAAGCCTGTCAATGTCTTCTAAATTTCTCAAAGAAACCTACGGCATCTTCCAGTACTGCCTACTCCCTGCCCTTGCTCATTTACCAACACTGATTGTATGTCACATTCTACACATGCAACTGCCTCACAAACTCCAACTCTTTCCTTGACCAAATCCCTAACAACCTGCAACACAGAAATAAATATTCTTAAAAACCCCTCTATAAACAAAACTAAAAACCAACCACAACCTACATTCCTCTTCAAGATCCCCTTCAGATCCAAACCCCCGTAGCCATCCAAAGAGAAGCTATTTGACAATCCCATGGAAGTATGCCCTCAGGCTGTCCGCACTACAAAACAAGCACAACTGCTCTGCTGTATGACACAGTCCCCAAAATTCCAACTATGGACTGTTTCCAAACCAAGAATTCAGCCCTGTGAGTGGAAAAATTTTTTCTGTAAATGTTATTTAAAGCACATGTATAGACCTCTTGCAAATTACAAAGTTTTAAAAATGAAAGTTAAGAAAAAAAGCCAGCTGGATGACTAAGTGAAACTCGAGAGGTAAAATCAGCAGCTACTCAGCTCCTACATAATTGTTACAAATGTTCAATTATTTGAAGTCAAAGTCACTCATAACAATTCGGTATCTTCACGAAAAAACAAGTTGATGGAATGACCAAGAACACAGAACAGGGACAAGATTTTATCAAATGTTTTCCTTTTTCACTGATAAGGAACTCTTATGGGCCTATTCCTTTAGTCTTATTATCACGACCAGGTACTTTGACCTACTATAATCGTAGCAGGATAAAACTACTAAAAAAATTTCAAATTTTACTTATGAAGTTCCCAACGGACAGGAGATATAGTTCTAAACTTAGCTTTCTAACAGTCTGTTGCATGAAAATGGTACAGTCGACTCAAATATAAGCATCATTAGTCAAAAAGCAACTTATTACCCAACCATGTATCTCCAATCACCTTGGGGGCACAGCAGCAAGGTGAAACTTTTCTTTTAGGAGAGCTGAACCCCTCTGCAGAATAGTATTTGACTCCTCACCTTCTGACACCCTGCTCCCTGTCCCCTCGCCCCTTGACCTTCTCAGTAGGCAGAGCTGCCCAGGCACAATCAGAGAGGAACGACAGGGTACAGAAGGCCGAGGGAAAGAAGAGGAGGTAAAAACAGGAGTTCAGACAGATCACAAACCAACCAGAATGAGCTTGTATACTGGCAGTCACAGAACAAAGCTTCCAATTCTACACAAAATACACATACATCCACCCAACCAAAGTGCCATAATCTAAGACACAGAGAACTCTGTATACAAGCAGATTCAGGTACTTACTACAAAGGAAATGGTTAAAAAAATAAATTGATCTATCAAACAATAAACTACACCCCCCCCCCTCCACAACAACAAAACCCCACAAATAAAATCCTCACTGTTACCACTAAAGGACATCTCCACCAAAAATAAAACAACATATAATCCAAATGCAAATACAGTTTGAAAATCCACAAGCAAATTCTTTAGTTTAAAACTTATGGCAGTCCCATTCAGAAACGTCATTGTGAGACCCCACCATTTCTCGACCTATAAACATACCATTCCACAGAAATCTAGTATCAGATCTACTCGAGGGTTACTGAAAAAGAAACCAATTTGTATAGCCTTCCTCTTCATAAACAAGTATGGAAGTCTTCTGCATAAATGTTCTCTTTCAGAATGTTATCAGCTTCCAAAACTAACGGCTACCAGTCACACCTCCTGCTACACTAACGGCCCAACTGCCCTGAGCTGAAGAGCACAAAGGCTCTATACAATGTCTATCACCATCTTCCCGCAGCCAACTCAGTTGCAGTTCCATGAGAAATGGAATTCGAGTGCCAGTGAAGAACAGCAAGAGTAATTTCAAAGACAGTTATTCTCAATTTCCCCTTTTTGTGTTAAATCTGAGAAAATAAGGTTCTTAATTATGAAGAAGCAGTCTTCAACTCTGCATTTGTCTAAATTGCTCATTTGTTACATACTCCAAGAAACTGGGACAGAAAGGACAACGGCAGTGTATACCCCTTGTATTGTTCTATAGAAACAAAGCTGATGCAATCCAGATTTAGCTGACTGGTAAAGACGTGTGGAAAATTCGGAGTTTCTGAAGGCAGTCCGATACAAAACTACAGCCTGAATTCTTTCACCATGCTAACACAGTTACTGCGTATTATTATCATTATTCCCACGAGGAAGCATCTGAGTTTTCAACTGTGCAAGACACAACCTTGCAGCTGAAGGGCAGAGGGAAGCACAACAGGCTTCAATCGTAAGAACATCCCATCTTTGTCCACACCACTTGTACTGATAATTACAGAGCACTGAACCTCTAAGCTACTCTGGATGCTCGGTAGAAACACAGATGTAATCTGGGTATAATTCAAGACAGATTGAAGTCAATCAAGCATTAACTTTAAAATACTTTGTCTTGTAAGAATAGCCCAATCAATACCCTAATAGCCTCCACAACCCCAATGTGTCATTTTGGAGGATTTCTTCATTTTTAAAAGAGATTTCTTAAACCACATTCAACAGCAGTGATATTTTAGGGGTTTTTAAGTAAGGTACTGGAATACTGTGACAAGACACTACCAAAATCATTCATGTATATGGCAAAGTTGTGCAGTTACTTCTAGAAGCCTCACACCCAGCATAAGTATTACTAAATCTCTCAGTGATGTTCAACACACAAGACAGGAATCTCAGCCACACTCAATGTAAAATCATGCAGATTAGATAATCAGATCCAAATGGCTGCTCTCTTTTTCACCACTTGAAGAGATGATGAACACTTACTCCAGTCTACGCTAGAAGTGCCTGTGAGACACCAAGGAAGAGAGTCTAAAAAACCGACCATCTGTAATTTGCTGCTGCAGAAGGCCAAACTGATTCAAAAATTAAGTCTGCAGCACCTGGAAGATGCTGCTCATACCTATTCCTAACAGATGGACACAACCCAAGTTCCAACATGTCAAACATCTGAATGACTCCATGTGACTTGTCCCTTCCAGTACATGAAGAACACAAATTCTAGTATAATAAAATGATGGACTTGTAAATGTAGTTAAGTCTAGAGTTTAAATTACTAAACCGGGAATGGATCCCAATAGCAACATACCACAAACATCAAAAGCGAACAATCACTCAACTGCAAAGTAGTAATACGTTAAATACTTGAAGAACTCTAGTTCTTGAAAGCAGACATGTACATACAAGCATATTTTAACATCAAATTATGTGCATGTGCAATTTGAAGTAGGTCTTAGTTGCGATACTGATTTTCAGCTCCCTCTCCATGGAATTGCTCAATGAAACACACAATTATGCCGTGCTGTCAGCAGCTGAAGTTCTACATTTGCAGCAAAGTCCTCTTTAAAAAAAAAAAAAAAAAATCATCTTTCAAGTCTTTTTAAGCCTAAGACTTAAGTCACATTTTCCCAAGCAAGCCACTATGGAACAAAAGCAAGTTCTCTGCAAACTTAGCCAGCCTGCACAGCTTTTATTTTAGGTATTCCTGAGCTATGTATGTGATTGAAGAATGAGTAGCGACTCCAAGCCTACTTAAATATATGTGGTTTTATATATATTGGGGGAGAAGCAACACTAAAACCTATCATGAATTGCGAGTCAGTGGAAACAGGGATTGCAATTTTACCTGCAGTACACAAGATCTTACCTCAACCGTTTCAACTGTCCACTCATCTACCTGTTCCTTCTCACTACTGCTGAACTGAGTCTCTGCCATGAATTGTCTGTTTACATACTAAAATAAAAATAAGAAAGGGTATGAAAGTAAAAGTAAGTGGCATTAAAGCTATATAAAATGACAATCTTTCCAGTGAGTAATACCTCAGTTGATTCAACTTCAGTCGGTTCAGTAAACTCTTCCGCTGGATCAGGTTCTGTAAGAGAAATACACCATTTACGTAAAAGACCAACAAACCACATGTTACAGACCTAGAAGATATAAAGTTAGATGAAAATGCCTCCCCCAGTAAAAGTGGAATTTTGAAGAAGTCTAACACTTTTTTGCAGTAGTCACTTATCAAAAACATCTACTTTAAAGAAGCATCCTGGGCTATTAGTATGCAGGAAGCACGGCTAGGTATATGAACAAACTGACACACATTTACTCCTGAATGACATTAAAACCCAGTATTAGAAGCTTGCTATACAGTAAGGAAGGAGTCAACTCGTTACACAGCTTCAAGAGGATGGGATTTTGATTAGATCTGAAACTAGAGCCTCAATATTGCTGACTTGTAAAGTATCTGCTGGTTCAGAAACAAACCTACCATTACAAGGTAGACAGAGAAAAAACTTGAGTTTCAGAATGAAGAAAACACAATGTCAGTATATCGACAGATAATTAGCAGCAAAGATTCTCAGTTTATAATTTAAAAAAATCACATTAAATTATTGCTAGGAAGAGTTATGTTCAACTACTCCAAATTCCAATTTTCTCCACAACATATTCAAAAGCAAAAAAGGTCACGAACTTTTTCTTAAAGTCTGGTAACATATTCTCGAGTTTAAGTCTGTAAGCATATTCTTTGCTTTAAAAACTTTTCCCTTCTAACAAAGGATTAAACTGATGGGAACCACTGAAAAATGGAAAAGCCTCAGGCAACCAGAACTGTAATCTGGTTTCAATACCACAGACGAACAAAATGCTGTTTATAAATCATAATGAGAAGTTCTACAGGAAAACAAAATACAAAAGACGTTTGCAATAATTTTCATTTGCATAAACCTGCTTCTAAATAACTTCATTGTTCAACAGCTTTCTTATTTCAGCAAGCGATATCTTCGTTGCACAAATGCCGAAATGTGTGTTCAAAACCAAGTACTACTGACTTCATTCCTTCACTCAGCTGAAGTTCCACTCCCTTCCTTGCACGGGATGGAAGGCGTTTGCAGTGTGATCGCTGGAAAGCGTTACAGTCCCTGCACAGAAGCAGCTGGCAAGAGTCAGCCTTACTGAACTCCTCTGGCACACACCTCTGCTTTTCTGGCTCAGAGCAGGGCTGAGAGAACGCCTGCCTGCCCTCTACACGCTGCATGGCCAGACATACCCGATCATCAAGCAGTGACATTTCTATTCAAAACACTAGTACACCTGAAGAATTCTGACAGGCGGTTTTTGTGCTTAAAACTGCATTTGCAATTTAATCGTTCTGACGAATCCAAAGAGACAAGACGATGCAACACAAACGAGGACAGTATCACAAGGCATCGTCATATTCTTACCAGCTTCTGCTACAGTGTCTTCTACTGCAGGTGCAGTTGCTGCCTCTTCCTCCTCACATAACCCGTTCTGATGGTTATGGGTGCTATCAAAGTAACTAGTTTGCAGAATACGTTCAACAATCTCCTTCAGCGCTTTATCTAGGAAAATGGAAGAAGTTAAAGATTAACAGTAACTCAATCCTAATTATCTTTTCCTTCCTTCCCAAAGATCCCACAGAAATATTACCACCCTTTTGCTAGGAAGAGGTTGCTGCCCCAAGCTAGTCCACAGACACTTATGTTACAGAATTACCTCTGTCTTACTGGGTCCTATTACATAAATCAATAAATAATCCACTTTCATTCAGAAAAATCAGATGGGTAAGGAGAATCTTAAGATTATACAATATTCTTCAGAAGATCTGTGAAACGCTTCAAAGTGAGGTAAAGTTTATGAATTTAATTACCATCCTTTTATTCCTGCTATTTCAAAGAAAAATAATCTCTGGTTGCTTAGTTTTCCTTCTGGAAAGTTTTAGAAACTCACTTAGGTTTCAACTGTAACTGATTTATTTGCAATTTTCTCATTAAAAAAAACTTACTTTTAAGTCAATTTCTTACAGAACAACTGTCAGTTCAAATTTACACAGGTAAGACCTTCATGAAGGTTCTTCCCCTGAGGCGAAGTGGCTCAGAACGGCCCTTGTAAGTGAAACAAGCACAAGCTCGCACTCAGTGCCTCAGATGAACACTGTGGTGTCTTAACCCAAACCCAACCAGCCACACTGGCAAGGCAGCGTTACCGACTGTCTGGGCCAAAACCAAACAGAATCAAAATGGAAAATTCACGCCGCATGTCGGGGAAGTAATAATCACCGGATGAATGGATACATGCGTAGAGAAGAGCACAGACACATTAACATTCATCACTGTTATAAAATAAAGCAAAGCAGCAACGGCTGCCAACGGCATCCTGGCATCCAAATACCCAGCCCAGCTTCATCCAGCACGTGAATGACTACATCTCCAGCAGCACACATCAGCTCTCTCCTGAAGACTATCCCCCTACCTTCTCCTTCCTCCACCTCTTCAAAAAATGAGTGGTACATATCTTTGGGCTCTCACAATCATTTCAGACTTGCAGAACAAATTTTAATTAAAAAATACTAACTGGGTACCTCCTCATAAAATTTCATTTTGACAATATAAACAATGTAAGTTCTGCCACAAACAAGGAAAATCTTATTACCATTAAGGCCACAGGATCTTATAACCTCTTGTGTATCACTGCTCAAGAAAGCAAGTTAGATAATCGTGCAATACTGTCATTTCACTTTCCATGAACAGAACACAAAAAAAAACCCTTCCAACAGCTCACTATTACTCTAATACAATAAGGATAATTGGGGTTTGGTTTTTTTGTTTGGTTGTTTTTTTAGGGGTTTTTTTGGGTTTTTTTGTTTGTTTGTTTTTTTAAACGGGGGAAAGTTGTTAGCCATTTTACCTACAAAAAAGGATTATCTTCCCTAAAACTTCCTATTTATTTCCAATAGACACTTAAAAAATTCCCCATGACAAAGACAACTGCCTAGCAGAGCCATTTCCTTAAGGTCTAATGTTAGAAGGTATGTATTTGTGAAAATTTACATTTCTGCAAGCAAGCAGCCCGTCTGCATGATCACACCCTGATTTACAGTTACTCAATCAAAACAGGGTAAAACCAGAAGCTTTTTGCAGGAGACAAGGGGGAGCAGAACATCACCCTAAATAAGGCCATGCCAGTTTATGTATCAGATCACATTATTGGCAGAGCTCCTCGTTCACACACATTTCCAGAAAAATAGGAATTGCTACTAGTCACCACCAGCAGCAGAATACTGCTGAAACAGCAGGAACAGACTAAGCTTAAATACCGAGTAATGCTGCCTCAGTAAAAAAAAAAAAAAAAACCACCCCCCAAAAAAACAAACCACTGCACAAAGTTCCCACTTCAGTACATTATTCCGTTACAGTCCAGCTAAGGTCTAAAAAACCTAAAAACTCAAAGATAATGAACTGCCAAAGTTCTCTCGTATCAGACATTGTATTTTAGTTCAAGTACAAACTCCATGTGCCGCCTTTTACCATAGAGACTATACTTACAGGTTGTTCCACAAACTGTTTTTTCCTTCCCTTCCAGTAAGTCCCACAGGTGAACAGATGCTTGCTCATACTGCTCATTCAACCTTAAAAAAAAATACTTAGTAAGTCAATTTCTTACCAAGTCTTTAACTAACAACAGCCAAATACATTGCTAACTGACAACTATAAAGAAAACTGTACTGTAAGCCTACCTCATGTTCATGTCTCTTTCAGGGTAAACTAGCTTGTAAAACTCATCCAGCATTGTCAGTTCCTCCTCTGTCAGCACTGGTACTCCATTTGATCCTTGTTTCAAGTCATTGCGCACTTCATCATCACCCAACTTGTCCAAAATAAACTGCAGCTCTAGTACAGTCTTTAAACGCTTCTGCTCAGCTTCTTCTCGCATCAGCTGCTCCCTGCGAGCTGTCTTTTTTATTGTTTTCTGGATCTGTTTAAAATGAAAAGAAATTTTAAATTGCTTAAAACTTGCATTCTATAGTGAACTCAGAGGGGAAAAAAAATAGATTTGAAATTCCTTTTATTGATAAGTAGAGGCAGACATTGGTGTTGAACTGCCACTTATCAATCTCATGTTACAGCAGAATAACCTGTGAAATTTGAAGTGTATCTTTTAAGCAGGGTCAAAATCCTACAAATTAAGACAAACCTTGGATCATATTGGATCCAGATCACATTCTTACCTGAACTCTGTACTTTCCTGCATGACTTACAAGCAGTTCAGTCAAGTAACTGCAGTTATCATACCTAAACCTTTGGACACAAATGTGTAACTTGAAACAAGCCCAGCTTGCTACTATCTGCTTCCTTTATGAATTTTTCTGTAGGAACCAAGTGATTTTGATCTAGACTAAAGTGGCAAAAACGTACAAAATGAAGTACCTCCGAAACAAACATTGTGGCTATTTAGAACTTCTGGCTTCCACAGCTCAAGAAGGACTTTCAGCAATTAGAAAAGGTACAGAGAAGGCCAGCTCAACTGGTAAGTGGACAGAGCAGCTGCCTTACGAGCAGAGCCTAAGTCTTGGGTTCTTGAATTTAGAGGAGTAAGGGTGATCCAGATTTTTCACCAAGGCCAGACAACACGAACAGAACAGTTATTCACCACATCCCACGACAGTAGGAGGCATGTATTGAAACTATTAGGAGACTGACTTAAAACAGATAAATAAAAGTCCTCTTGTTTCTTACACACTACGGGAGGGAACTCATGGAATGCTTTGCCATGAAAGGCTGGGGAGATAAGACAGTATCAGCAAGTTCAAAAAGGATTTCAATAAATTCTTGGACATGACGTCCACAGACAGACCCTGAATGGAATGGTAACACACCTACTGTCTAAAATTCTCCGTTTGAGGATCACAGATGCTGGAACGGAACAGATGACAGATAATCAACAGCCTTGTACTCTGCATAGTACCTTCTGTGACTGCTGTCATAATACTGGTCTAAATGCACCACTAGTCTAAACCTACAAGACATTTCTTCCATTCTTGTTCTTAATCCCTGCATCTAGCATCGAAAATTCAGCTTGCTCGCTTTGTAACTACACAAACCTTTAATCTTCTCTTTCGAAAAACGTAACTCGTGACAGTAACTTTCTCCGTCTGAAACACCTAATCGTCTTTTTTAAAATCAAAGACCTATCCTAAACTGTACGAGAACTAACTCCAGTCAGGAAAAACTGCAACCAAGTTTGAAAAGCAGAGCACCAACTTGTTACTCCAGGATTCACTTGCTTTTTTTAGCGGTCAGCTGACCAGGGAAACACTTCAGGATGAACCTGTCCCAAGAAGAAAGTTCTTCATTACTAACATTCCGCAAACATACAGGGAACCCTGACCTGAGAAACGCAAAGGAATGGCTTGGCTTAGAGGCCTGCAAATTTCCAACCACATCAACTGTAGCAAATGGCTTATAATGCGAGGATGCTGATGCCCTCCAAATTATCACATAGTCTGTTCACAAACTAAATACGCTCGTTAGATCAGTCTGCTGCGCTAACACCAGCTGCACAATGAATTCGACCAATGTGGCTGCTCTTTCCGTAACTCATTAACTGTATAACCACATTTAGAATCTTCCAGTCCTGGAGAAGGGGTTACACTTTCAGCTTGCCCCAGAATTAATCCTTCCTTGCAGTAATACCGCAGAGGTCTAAAGCGTGTCTTTTTGTTCACAGCTCTTGGCACAACAATTAAAGCAAAGCTGTTCAGATAACTGGAACTGTCTGTTGGAGTTCTAGAATTTATTCTTGATTACACTGTTATTTTACAGCCCTGATAAAACACCAACCCAAAAGATCACCAGTTTTACTAGTATTCAGTTACCTTATTCTTTACAAAAAATAGTATTAGTCTTGTCTCATACTGTAGCTTGAGACTGTATTTGCAGTTAACAAGACAGGAAGAATCTTGAAAAAGGAACTGCAGCGATATCTTCAGCTGCTGAGACTTTATACCCTACACTAATATACAGAAACAAAAATCCTCAACCACTCGCCAGAGAGAAGCACACCTGTGAAATCTTACTACTTTTAAGAAAACGTTACTATTGGCAGTAGGTGGCTGTCTATCCTGTTGCATGACACGCCTCTTTTGTGATGACACCGTTTTCAACAGTTACGTTTTGTCAGAAAATGACATTATTTTTGTCCCCATACATTTATGTAGTCCATCAGAAAAAATCTTTTAGGAACAGTCTTCAGAAAACCTGACACAAACTAGTACATAGAGTGAAAGGAAACAGACATAGAAGAAATCCTGAGCGTTTCACCTCTGAACAGAGGCGACTCGCACCTCCTATTGCTGAAAGGGAGTTTAAAGCCCAAGCGCCTGAAGAGCCTACATGGCACCGCTCGCTCTTTACTTACATCTTGGCTCAGAGCCATAAAACTCCTCTGCAGTTCTTTAGCAAATTCCAGATTATTTGTCACTTCCTGGTATTTTGACACCGCATCCTTAAAAAGAAAGAAAAGGAAACACAAAAGTAAACCATCACCAATATAACAAAATACATACGTCCAACAAACAAACTTTTAGTTCCTAAGTGAGACACAGCATCCCCGAATGGGACTGCAACAATGTTAAGTCAAATTTTGATCTTCACTGGTCAAAATATAGAAAATACTTGTGCATGTCTTTAGGGCCTCTAGTTCCTCAGATAAACATGCTAAAGCATATGCATATACATGCTCACAGGCATGACGTACTATTTTAACATCTGGCTTTAGCCAGTTTCTGACAAAAACGAGCTGGCAGGCTGGAGAAACAGGAGAGAAGGGCTATCTGGTAACTCAAAACTGCTCCAGATATAAAGGCTAGAGAATTAACACATTGCTATCATGAGTCAGAGCCAAAATCAAAATGCTATGCAGAGCATAACATTCCCTTCTTCAGAAATCTTTATTTGCTATTTTCTTAAAATATTCTGATTTGCACCGAAGCAATCTAAACTCCCTAACCCGCTTTGCAGGTACTGAGACGTTACAAAGAATCGAATCAGGGGAAAAAAAAAATTGCTGAGACACACTCCTGCTGTGACAAAATTAATAATGGATATGTTCTTGGTAAGAACAATGGAGCCAAAGAAAAGGTAAGGTCCTGCTTTCTTAGCTGATTTATAGAAGCAGAAGACGCAAGTAAAAATAACAAATACTTTAAGCATTTCTTCAACCAATAAAAGATTTTTATCTTTATGAAGTGTGGAAGTCAGGCTGTGGTCTTTATAAAACTCACTCATGAGCTTCCCTCCTCAATATGAAATTTCAGTTATCTTCCCTGCTCATCAAACAGGAAACTTACCATGGTTTATTTTCACAACATGCCATTAAAAAATAAAAATACACAGACCAGTTGGCACACAAGAACCAAACTGAAGCCCAGACATATGAAAAGATCACATGGACCAAGGGAAAGAACTAATTCTTTTAATTGTGAACAGCTGCAATAGTTCAAGTACATTTTTTTTCTCTTCGCATTTTTCAATGTAAAAAATTATGAACAAAACATTGTTGATTACTGAGCATCTGGTAATCCCTTTATCAATGTGCATGTTTGCATCGTACAACTGAATTTAATTGGGCACTTGCTTTATGTTTACTACAACTGGAAAACGGCTGTTCAGTCAAACTCTACAATAACGTACTTTAAGAACCAGCCCCAACATGGAAGCAAGCAGGACACATCCACTAAGTCCAGCTTATCGAGAGCGTCGCATCTGCTGCGCTGGTAGCTGTGATATACCCACGGACGCAGCTTATTTTCAAAGGCCTCGGTCTAAGCCACCTCTCTAACCAGACTGCACAGTATTTACAAGCCACCACCAAGTGACTAAGCTCCTTAAGTTCTCCCTGGGCACATTTTCTGCAAAGAAAAGGATGATGTCCAGAGAACCTCAAAGCTATCACTTAGTTCTTTCAACAGTCCTAGGTTATAACGTACGCCAATTTTCATGACAGTTTATTTAGAACCTACCCTCAACAAGCATAAAGCCTTACAACACGTTCATCTACCTCTTCTTTCAGTTTTTAAGTAACAGAAAAATTGAGATGTTCTAGGCAATAAAAAACTGAGGCCAAGTCAGAGCCCAGAGGAATCTAGCTTTCAACGAGGGGAAAGGGGAAGCGAAATTCATCCCCTCCTTCCCCACCAAGATCACAGAACAATTTAACAGAGATCTAGCCAGTATTTTTTTTTCTTTTTACCAGTTGATCTTGATTTAGACGTTCTCCCTTGTTCATTCGTTCCTGGTAATCATCAAGTTTGCTCTGAAAAGAAAGAAAAATGCTATTATGAAGAGCCAAAATCAGGTTACTGATTTTTTTCTACTTGTGCGAACAAAACCTGTACTGTAATGCTACAGTCAACACAGACTGCAACATGTTACGCAAGCACTCAATTGTCACGTAGAAATAGTACCCGAGAAAAATTGTCCTCTGGGTTAAAAAAAAGTAAATACTTCCCTAAGAGACAAATACTTTAACCTTGTTTGTTTGGCTATCAGGGTAAGTCTTCATGACTACTCTTAAATTCTGAGGAAATACACATTCCTCCTAATGAGGTAAGCACACTCAATGCACATTTCCTTCAGCACAAACAACAGAGAGCTGAACTCCGTTCTGAGTCAGAGCTTATTACCAACTTATCACTAAAATACCAAAAACACGACTGCAAAAAACCACTGTCAATGCTATTAAGATTCAGAACTGTAATTTGCAGTTGCATCAGTGAAGATAGTTTTAAAGAATTTAAAACAGTTTCTAATCCTTTGTGCAAGAATGCCCACCAACACAATTCGTATTAATAGCTCAAAAACAATTCTGTTCAAAAGCATTAAGATTTCTTTTTCATGAGAACAAACTCAAAAAGGAACCATTAAGTGAATTTTTTTTCTCTAATCTACTTAAATACAAAACCATGCAAAACACTGACATTAGGCAAAAGCAGGTAATACTTCTGCAGGCCTAAGTGACAAAAATTATACAGGCCAAGTAGAAAGGCTCTTAGGAAGGAAGCAAAGCCTTTAAGAATAACATACCTAACTATTAAGCTCTAATTTTCCAACATTTCTGTACTATCACATATGATCTTTTTTTAAATGAAATTTGCCTTGATCATATTAAAAGAAAGCTATTTAAGTGAATGCTTAACAGTTATCTTCCCAATCTAGCATAACAACAACATGAAAAGGAAAGCAAACAGCAACACTTCCTTTTGAAGGTAAAAGAATTAAAACCCTAATGCAACCATTGTTTCAGAGTTTGTATTTGCCACTGAGTGACAGGGTTTGGGTTTTTTTGCCATTGATCTTTGGTTTTTACTATTTTTGTTTCAGGAAATGTCAGTTAAAAGATTATACTGATATTTTCCTAGCTAATTCAACTTCCATGCTCAATCTCCAAATTGAGCCTTTTGGCAAGATGACGGTCTGTGAAACAGTTCAACAAGCAAGCTCCTCTTACAAGGTATTTGATGCCCAGCACCACTTAGTGAAACCCAGAACCGCCCTTACAAGACTTGGTCCTTTTGATGTCACCCAGCGCCAACACTTTATTTCTCTGGAAATCCTACAGGTTAGATACAAGACAACTACTTATCTTTCAGTGTCAGTGATGGCCTAGGCAAAGTCAAAGAACTACAAACTTCCCGAGCTCCAAAAATGTATTACTGGGCATTTCATGCTGGGGACAGACACTAGGAGGATAACAGACGACAAACACAGCAACCACAGTTCATAATATATCCAAAAAAATAGGCCCGAAGAGCATTTGGTTTATTGGAAATCTATCACAACAGGAAACATGGTCATTTTACTTGTCTACATACTAATTTTAGAATACATGACGACATGGTTGGACAATCACAGTAGTTTTCATGCTTTAAGAGATCGTAGCTGAGCTGTGAAGTCAAAAAGGAGGGTAAAGAGCTCAGACACCACAATGCCCCAGCGCAAACCCAGCCAGGTTAACCGATGCCTCAGCCACTTAAGGTAGCTTAAATCCCACAACAAACTGGCTTTGCAGACAAAAATGTTTAAAAAGCTCTGACTCGCTCAAGTCACTCACTCCCATGGTGCAGACTACAATTCCCTTGGTCACACTGATGCAACTGTTTGCGAGGCTGCACAGTAAACAGACTGCTAATCGAGCCAGTTTAAACAGCGTCTACAAAAAAAACCAAACAACTTTCTGTGATCCAGTTTCCAACACAAACCTCTAAACAACAACCACCAAACAGGATAGAACATCAGATTCCAGGAGAACACTACTCAGGACAACTCTGTTGAAGAAAACATGCATTGCAAAATTACTCTGCAAAACACTCACATAATCCATTTTGGTGGCTAAGGGCATAAGGGATGGAAGAGACAAAAATACCCTCGATAACTACAATTCTTTCTGCATACTTTTTCCATGCAGCCTTACTTCAGCATGGTTCGTATCTTCAGATTAAGCATATTGCAATAACATATTTAAACTATGTGTAAGTTTTTCTTAAATGGTCAGATACTCTTAGAGCTAATGTAAACGCTTTGTTCGGTTTTATTTAGCAGTTTATCAACTAAAATCAAAGGGCAGCATGGCCATTTCTAACTGCTAGGAATAGAAGAAAAACTACTTCACTTTTTTTTCCTTAAAAACCTGCATATCAAAGATAAAAGCCAAAGGAAAGCCCTTTCAGCTGCAATGCAGAGGGCAAGCAAGTATGTACTTAGTTATATGTTATCAGAAAGATTTCAATTGCCAAGTAAGCATTTTTCTATCATCCCAAAGTCACTATAAGATCCAAATGCTGCATTACACAAAGACATGAAGGAAGCAAAATGCTTTCTTATTAATCTGGACTGTCAACTAACAGCAGTCCAAGAGCAGCATTAGTGCTGTAAAATAACCGCAGTAAAATTCCTGCTTAGCAACCTACTGCAGTGTCTGCAAAGTAAAGGTTTTCTTAATTTTACGCCCCCTTACACAACTTCATCCACACTCATCAGGGATATACATCCTGAAGCATAAAAACTACACCAGCAGAAAACAAAACAAAATTAAGTGGCCAAGTGAGCACATAACTGTCTATTAAGCAGCCCATGAGTCAGCAGACCCCGGTTCTGCAGGCAGCAAGCCACCATGCTTCAGCTCTTTTCCCACTGTGATACCTGAAGTATTTTGGAGTTCCCCAGGAGAAAAGCACTACATACGGGGTTCCGAGGAGGGGGGCAGAGGCAGGGGGAAGGCAGAGACGTTCATTGCTTAAGTATGACCTAGATTTTGTTTCAATAGGAATCCAAAATTGAGTTACTTTATTATGGCGATACCTTCCCCCTCACACTCAAGTTCTCATTACCTCCTCTGAATTGCCTCAGAAATGCCATCCTAAAGTGGAAAAAAAAAAAAAAAAGTAGTTACATGACATTAGCTGCAAAAACAATACTGGTTTTAAGTGCCTGACCACTCAGCTGTGCTGTTACCGTCATTTACAGAGCTATGCTACAAACTGGATCACTGGAATGATCTGATTAAAAATAACCCTTAAAAAAAGGGGGCCAGGAGCGGGAGGGAGGCACTATATTTAACCAGACAATTTCAATGGTATGGTTAATACCAGTTACAGCAGCACAAGTGTATATGACAAGCTGCAAGGTGGAAGGGGAGAAGGTAACCTCTTCAACCAGCTGAAGTAAAGATTTTGTAATGCACACTTCGCTACAAGCAAAGAAAAGATGGAGGGAACTACTGCAAGTCTGTTTTCTGACCCCTCTCAAAAGCTGCATGTATTTCTTCAACAGCATTAAGCAATTAAAATAATCCAAAAAGTACAACAGCTGCCTAATACATTTCACACTGAAGCAAAAGAAGAGCCAAGCTACAAAACAGAAGTTTATTAACCTGTTTTATATTTGTGCGTTGGAATTTATCTGCCCTCCACCATCACCTCCTCGCTCGTTCACCAGTTTAGCTTCTCTGCAAAGACTGCCCAGAACTTAATAAATATTAAATAAAAAGTCTTCCTATTTCCCCAGAAAAACAGGCAGAAAAAAAAAAATCAAAACAGTAAAACACTTGAACTGTACAGTTTAATGAAACATGGAAGTTTAGAATCTCTCAAAAACCTCACATTCACAGTCTAGGTACACTTCCTATCACATATACACCCGCAACTCCCCAGAAGCTGTTTCAGTGCTGAGTTATAACCAAGAGGTTATGAAGCGTTAACATCAACACTCCAAAACACAAAACATTTACAGGTCTTCTCTTTAAACTGAATTTCTGTTTGAAATAACAGTTGTAAATGTTGTGGGTTTTCCCTAAAGTCCTGTAAGTCTGACAGTTCAGAAGAAAGTCTCCCCATGCTGTATTCATTTCTAAGCGAGGGACAAAGGCACACCAATTCTGCGACTGCAGCCTCACCATCAGCTTACCCCAGAGGACACTGATCACAAAATCAGTGTTCTGCTCACGCAGTCTTGACCCTTCCCACACACCGACAAGGAGAGCCACAGGGCCAGGCTGACAGCTGGGTCAGCAGCCTGATCCAGCCCAACACCTACGGCGACAGAGGTACAAGAGCGGCTACGAGAGGGACCCACTCCTTCCCAAGGAAATGCCAAACGGACGGATTTGTGCAATCTTCACAACGTAAACCTTTTAAAGCCCACTGAGTGGACTACTGAGGAAAAAGAAAAAAATCGCCCCTTCAGTAACCAGAACTAAGATAAGCCACAGATGAGTGAAACTCCTAGACGTTTGGGTGGCTGCATAGGTACGTTCTCTTTCCAAATCACCATCTGGTATCTACTATAGAAACACTATGAACCTACAGGTAAGTTGACTACACTGCAGGAGACTTAAGATTTTGCTCTACATATCATTTATGTTCAAAATCAGTTACTTTTACAACAGCAAGTGAATTCTAGAACACAAACTGGGTTCTAGAATACAAACTTGGCTCTCGCAACACATTCTGTGTCTTTCTTCCGACAAAACAAAACATCAAAGCAGCATCTGAAAAACTTAAATCTACAAGATCTTTCACAGCTGGTGGAACTCATCACATATTTAGTGAAGAGAACCTGCTATGAGAAATAACCCCTATGCTACATAAAACAAGTTAAAAACACAACAGAGCAGGCTGAAACTAGAAAGCACCAACACCACAATTTCACAGATAAACCTGCTTGGGTTTTAAGTGATGAAGCTTGGTTATCAAGAGAGGTTTCAAAGATTTGGGTTTTCAATACACCGTTTCAAATGGATGTTGTAATTTCGTGGTT